TGTAAAGATCTAGGGGCCCAAGCCGGTGTGCTCAGTGGTTGAACTGAGCGGGGAGGTCATGGGGGCATGCAGGAGGCAGCTGATCAATGATTCTCTCTCATCAATGGTGTATCTTTTTCTTTTCTTTTCTTTTCTTTCTTTTTGTTTTTTCTTGATAATCCTCACCCAAGGGTATTTTTCCATTGGTTTTTAGTGAGTGGAAGAGAGAGGAGGGAAAGACAGAGAGAAACATCGATGTGAGAGAAACACATCAGTTGGTTGCCCAAGGCCCAAGTTGGGAAGAAGCCTGCAACCAAGGTATGTGCCTTGACTGGAATCAAACCTGAGACCCTTTGGTCTGCAGGCTGATGCTCTATCCACTGAGCAAACTGGCTAGGGTTCATCAATGATGCTTCTATCTCTCTCTCCTCTGAAATCAATAAAAATATATATATATTTTTAAAAAGATCTAGGGCAGGAAAGAGCAAGCCAGATAAGATCCTGAAAGAGGTATATAGCGTGACTGGAGGTGACACAGTGAGAGGGAGTCCCCTAGAGATGAGAGTTAAGAAGGCAGGCCCTGGCTGTGTGGCACAGCAGTTAGAACATTAGCCTGCCCATTGAAGGTTCAATCCCCAGACCCGGTCTGGGCACATTGAGGAGGCAACCAATCAATGTGTCCTCTTACACTGATGTTTCTCTTTTTCTCTCTCCCCCTCCCTCCTGCTCTCTCTAAAAATCAATGGAAAAGCCTGGCCGGCATGGCCCAGTGGTTGAGCGTCGACCTATAAACCAGGAGGTCATGGTTCAATTCCCAATCAGGGCACGTGCTGGGATTGTGGGCTCGATCCCCAGTAGGGGGTGTGCAGGAGGCTGCCAATCAATGATTCTCTCTCATCATTGATGTTTCTATCTCTCTCTCCCACTCCCTTCCTCTCTGAAATCAATAAAAATATATTTCTAGAATTTATAAAATGTCTTAAATATATTTGCCAGTAAAAGCCTGTTTCTAAAGGTTATAAAATGTCTTCATAAGTTGCCAAGCTAAAGAATGCTAATTGCTTACTTATTAATTTTCATTAGAAATTGAAGTTTTAAGGGTTAAAATCTCATCTGTAGGAAAACTTCTAAGGTACAGTGTATGGACAAACATGGTTGTAAATTCAACAGTCAGGGCTATGAAAATCCAAAGACGACTGCTGGGTTCTTCCCTGCTCTCTGGTTCCCCATTTTTCGGCTTTTGCATTTCTTCATGCATCACAGTATCTTTAAACTAGACTCAGATGAAGGAATTTAAGAGCTGACATTACTGAAAAGAAACATCTTATACCATTGCCAAGGTTTGATAGAGTCACTTCAAGAAAACGCCAAGTTGGTAACTCCTTCTTTTCACAGGGAGCTCCCAGGAGACAGACACTTTAAAGATCAGTTGACTGCCATCTGGAGATTTTGTTTATTGAAGACAGCATCAAATAAAAGACACTCTCCAACCTCATTGGATGGGAACTTATCAGGCACCTAACTGCGAATGGACATCTTACTCCTGTCTACAGACATCAAAGACTCTGAGGAAAAGAAGCTGCCAATACCAGAGGTAGACAACTATCCCAAGACATCAATAAGGCCTGCATATATACAGATTGATACTGAACTCAGCAAACATTTTGTTTTATTGTCTTTACCTGATTGATAATGATATTAGTCACAATAATATATTTATTCTGAGTTTCTCTATATAGTAAAACTATTTATGATTACTGAACATGCATAAGATAATTGTTAATACTCTTTTCATGACTTATGTAAATGTTATACTAGATGCCAAATATTAAAAAAGTGACAGAAACTCGGATCATGATATTGCACAGGACAGAAATGACCAGTCTATTTTTTACTCAATGAAGGCCATTAAAATCTTGAGACAGCATGGGTACTTGCGCTCAGGATCCCAAGAACACCAGATAAGAAAAATGCAGCACTGACATCACTCTGCTGCCCCCTATGTGATCCCAAGGACCCCAGTTAGCCACAAGAAACACCAATAAGAATGTCACCAACCCTCCACTTTCTGGCTCTCCCACTCCCACGAAAGCAGAATTTTACCTTCCTTCTAACTGCTTGCTTCTCCAACCCCACATGGAAAATTCTACAAGCCTACCTTTTTGCACAAACCCACTTTGTCCCCAACTTATAAAAGCAGCCAAGCAGAGCCAGACCCTTGAGCCAGTTCAGAGAACCTTCCTTTCCCCTGTGCTGCCTCCCTGTGCTTGAGCATACACTTAATAAAAATCTGTCTGGAAATTTCTTTAAGGTTTCCTCTTGATGTCTCCATCTTGGGAAACCCAAGAACCCTAATACTGGTAACAACCTGATGCCTGCCATTTTGGGGAAAAATCTGACTCCCATGGTTACGGTATTGCCTCATCCCCAATGAACAAGATGCCATCGATACTGAGACTTTCTAGGAATAAGCCTTTCCTAGCACTGTGAGACCACTCTATCTGACCAAAATATTGGTCATCAATGCATCCTTCAGATTAATGTATGACTAAGGGGAAACTGAAAAAAAAAGAAAGAAAGAAAAAAAAAAGTAACCTCACAAGGTGATCTGATGATAAATTTGTAACTAGGTAGGTCATGGTGGTAGGCATGCCCCAGACATATAACTTCTTTACTAAAAGTTTATCTATGCTTTAAGTAAGCCCTGTCCATTGTTTCTGTACATCTAGGTTAACACCCTTTGAAATAACTACCCTAAAGAGAGCACACAACCTTATTAACTATCAGTTAATCCAATTCCTGCCTTGCTTTCTCCCACCTCCATGTAATCTTCCTTACTTTCCCTCCTCAATTTCAAATGCATAAAAGAAGTTGCAAAACTGTTATTCTCAGGGAGTATTTGAGACCTTGCTTCCTGGGTATGTACTGTCAGTTTGGCTCAAATAAATGTTTATAAAAATTAAAGAAAAGAAAAAACAACCACCAAAGTTCTGCATGCAAATATAAGTATAACAACAACAAAAATCTACAAAAAAAGTTTTTCCTGAGCAGACGCAATGTACATGTTCATTAAAAATTTTCCTTTGCCCCAAATAAGCCATGCACTATTATCATTGTCCATAATTTAAGATAGGATAACTATATTTAAGTCTACATAAATTAGCATGGTACTCTAGAAATACTACTACTTAGTAAACAATAAAGATAAAATTTCATTCCTTCCTATTTACACATCAACCATCAACATATTTTCAAAGAGTCAAATATGTAACTAACAAACATGTGGCAATATGCAAAAAGGAGGCGAGGAACCTAGGAAAACACTTCAAGAAAGTGCATTTCTATGCACTATTCTGTCCTCTAGAATGGATAATGTTCTACCTTAAGAGAAATAAAACCCCCAAATAATAAACTAGATATAATTTAAAAATACACTATAATGTACCAAATACCAGTCAAAATAAATACTGAGCCTTTACATTTAAAATATTTCTTTTTTAAAAAAATATTTTTTTATTGATTTCATAGAGGAAGGGAGAAAGAGAGGGAGATAGAAACATCAATAATGAGACAATCACTGATCGGCTGCCTCCTGCATGCCCCACACTGGGGATGGAGCCTGCAACCTGGGCATGTGCCAGGACCAGGAATCGAACCATGAACTCCTGGTTCTTAGGTCGACGCTCAATCACTGAGCCACACTGAACGTGCTCAAAATAGTTCTTTTAAAACTGTCCCTAAGAATGGAGAGTAGTAGTTCAACTCTCAACACTTCCAAACAATTCCTCTATAGGTTTTTCTATCTCAATATTCAACTAAGCTTTTGTTTTCAAACTTGGAATATCCAAAAGGAGAAGAATGCATGAAAAATAAAGGAAAAATACTATAAGATTTTTCTTAAATGTGTAAAATAAACATATGTCAGATTTAGATATCAAAACAGATCCAAAGTGCTTTCTACTTTTATAAGCAATATAAAGTCTGTCATAATGTGAATTCTCTTTGAATGTATTAGTAAAATCTAGATTAAGTTTTAACATACCCATTTTCAGATTTTAACTACAAACACTACCTTCACTGACCTGCATTCAGTTGACCTGCCTTAACCAACACTTTTTTTTTTTGCTCTTTATTAAATATGCCAAGGTATGCTGACCACTATTAGTATGCTATTTTTAGTATATCCAGGCACTTCTGATCCCACTAGTTGAGATATATGTTTAACCGGTCAGTTGGTTGTTCCCAAACCTGATTATGCCAGTTTACTTGTTATACTTCTTACATAATTTAAGTAAACATTATGTAAGTGTATGAAATACAAGTACAAAAAGAGGTTTGTTCCTATGTAAACTAAGTTGAATGTAAACCAAGTAATTACTCAGTAAAGGTGAGTCAGTCCTTTAAAAGGTATTGAATTAGATAAAGGTAAGACATCTGTAAAATATTAGAAAATCATTAAAAGTCAGAAAGAACCTATATTTAGAGTTTTTAAAAAAGTATCTTTAAGCTTTTATTCTATTTTAGAGATATCAAAACTGGAAATTACAAAGCATGCATTATGAATATAGTTTACACAAGATCAACTTCTCTTAACTCCACATTCAAAGACATGGTGTTAGCTATATATAAAAAATTTGGTAAGCATAGATTCATATATTTTGTTAAAATTTTAAAATGCCGACATACGTTTGTGTTTTTTTTTGGTTAATCCTCACCCAAGGATATTTTTTTCATTGCTCTTTAGAGAGTGGACGGGAGGTAGGGAGGGGAAGACAGAGAGAAACATCGATGTGAGAGAGGCATTACATATGCCCCATTCAGGGCCAGGGATCAAACCCACAAACCAGGTACATGTCCTTGACTGGGAATTGAACCCAAGACCCTTCAGTGCAGAGGTGGACACTCCAATCATTGAGCAACTTGGCCAGGGAAAGATACGTATTTTTTTTATTTTCCTGCTTTACTGTAGGGAGGTGGCTATAGGGTTAAGCCTCAGACTGACCTGTTGGCAAAGCCACAAACAAGTCCCAGCTTAGAGGGCACAGCACTCTTAGCATAATTAGGCTTGACCTTGTGATGCTCCCTAGATCTTATCTGGGTAGCTAATGGGCTGAGGGAGATGCAGCAAGTGCTACCAAAACAGTGAAACTCACAAGAACACTGTAACTATGGTGACCACTACCTTGTTTACCTCTGGCTATAAAATAAAGGCTCAGCTTGCTGTCTGGATCTCTCTATGTGGCCTCAGCCAGGCACAGGAAGATCCACCTAGACCCAGCTTATTCTGTCTTTTCTACATCCTTCACCGCCCCCAGTCAGGCTCACTGGCTGAGCTGGCCCGGCACACTTTACTATTTTTAATAACCTACCAATCTCAACAGACATGAAACCTTCTAACATCCTTTTTTTTTTCTGAAGGCCTTACTTAAGGGCTTGCTATACCAACTAGATAATTATTACATGTCTATATAAAATAATAGCATGTAACAATAAACATTCTAAAATAGCTTTATGGAAAAAAAAAGCGTTAGATTATATACTCCACAAGGGCAAGAATCTTTACCTATTTTGTTCACAGATGTATACCAGGTAGGTAGAATAGTTCCTGGTGTATAGTTGATGCTCAATAAGTATCTGTTTAATGAAAGACAACAGAAACTTACCGTGATGACAGCCTTGCTAAGACAGATGGATCCTCTACAGCCATACTCTGTCTCATCTTCAGATTTGTAGTAACTCAAAGTATTATTTTTCATAACTACCCAACGATCTTGCCATCCATGAATGTAGTTTGTCCACTGGGAATAGAAGAAAGGCGGGGTGGAGAGGGGTAGGGGGAGGAAAACAAAAAACAGTAAGTCAGTATTTTAGAAATCCAAACTTTCTAAAATAGCAATCAATCTGATTTTAAAACCAAAATGTGAAAAGTTCTAACGTAATAATAATTAGTAAAAATGATTACAAGAAGTGGAAAGTTGGTATTTTCTAGATTGTATAATGATTTTCAGTAATTTTTTATAAAATCATAAATAAAATAAATAGATCAATATAATATAATATTTTCTTCTAACATTTGAGGAAAAAAATATAAGCAGATTTCAGTTTAAAATTCTGCTTTGGCCCTAACCGGTTTGGCTCAGTGGATAGAGCATCGGCCTGCGGACTCAAGGATCCCAGGTTCGATTCCGGTCAAGGGCATGTACCTTGGTTGCGGGCACGTCCCCAGTGGAAGGTGTGCAGGAGGCAGCTGACCGATGTTTCTCTCTCATCGATGTTTCTAACTCTCTATCCCTCTCCCTTCCTCTCTGTATAAAAAAAAAATCAATAAAATATATTTAAAAAAAAAAAAATTCTGCTTTGCCTCTTGCCAGGCTGGGCACATGCCTGGTTGCAGGCTTGATCCCCAGTGGGGGGCGTGCAGGAGGCAGTGATGTTTCTCTCATTGATGTTTGTATCTCTCCCTCCCCCTCTAAAATCAATAAAAACATATTAAAAAATAAAATAAAATTCTGCTTTGCCTCTGCACAGCAAAGGAAACCAACAAAACAAAAAGGCAACCAACCAAGTGGTAAAGATATTTGCAAATGATACTTCCGATAAAGGGCTAATATCTAAAATTTGGACAGAACTCATATAACTCAACAACAACAAAAATAACAATTCAATTAAAAAATGGACAGAGGATCTGAACAGACATTTTTCCAAGACGACAAACAGATGGCCAATAGGCATAGGAAAAGATGTTCAACTTCACCAATTACTAAGGCAATGCAAATCAAAACCACAATGAGATATTACCTCATACCCATTAGATCAGCTATTATCAAAAAGACAAAAAATAGCCCTAACCGGTTTGGCTCAGTGGGTAGAGCGTCGACCTGCGGACTCAAGAGTCCCAGGTTCAATTCCGGTCAAGGGCATGTACCTTGGTTGTGGGCACATACCCAGTGGGGAGTGTGCAGGAGGCAGCTGATCGATGTCTCTCTCTCATCGATGTTTCTAACTCTCTATCTCTCTCCCTTCCTCTCTGTAAAACATCAATAAAATATATTTTTTTTAAAAGACAAAAAATAACAAGTGTTATAGAGGATGTGGAGAAAAGGGAACCCTCTTGCTCTGTTTGAGATTATAAATTGGTGCAGTCCCTATGGAAAACAGTATGGAGGTTCCTAAAAAAATTAAGAATAGACTACCATATGGTCCAGCAATTCCTCTTCTGGGTATTTATCCAAATATGAAAATACTTTTTTGAAAAGATATACGTACCCCTATGTTCACTGAGGTATTATTTACAATACCAAGATATGGAAACAACTTAAGTGTCCATTGATGAATGAATAAAGATGAGTGTGTGTGTGTGTACGCACACAACACTACTCAGATATAAAAATCTATATAATGTTATTAACAAATGTTACCTTAATAAAAATTTTTTTAAATTATACTTTGCTCTTTGTGTGTTTTCATCCTCCCCTGCTCACCACCTCATGACACTTAAATTATTTTGGTCCCTGCTACAATTAAGATAATTCAATAGAAACGTAAGTTTGGTTATATAGTCTCTCATTCTCCTAAACCAAGTACTACATGAGATCTTTTAAATCAACGGAAGTATGAAGCTAATTATGGCCAAAACTGTACTTTTGTTGTAAGTTATTCCTATAGGAAAATTTATGGTGTTCATAATTACATCAAAGTAAAATACTAGATCATTAGTCTAAGTCTATATCAACTTCATTTTTTTTCCTCTACAGAACTCAACATTTCGTATTTCAAACAGTTAATTCATTTTCCAAGTTTCTCTGAAGATCTATTTTCAAACCCAAAAGCAATATACTAATACAAAACTGGTTTTTCAAAAACATGCTTGGAATATCTGTTTCCAGTACCTATAAATGGTTTCTGTGCTGCTAAAGTTTTTCTGCACACTGAAGAGCACAATCAATAAACTTGCAACGGCGGAAATATAACCTCTATGGAAATTCTTGATTTTGCTTATTTTCATGTTCTGGAGGTTTTAAATATAGACAATTCCAAAATTGACTGCCAAAAACAAATTCAAAATTGTTAAAAATATACATACTGCATTGGCTCAGGCTCTTTACCCGTTGAGAAATCTTTACTTTCCTATTCCCTAACTCAGCATCTTTGAGATGGGGCTTAAATCTTCTAAGCCCCATCATTACAACTCCTCCCTGAGCGGTCATTCATGCTGGCAATTTAACTCATTATTTCCTAAGGGCTCCCTAATCATCATTCCCTTATTTTTTTTAACTCCCTATGACTTACCACCACTTATACTGAAAGCTGAAATAATGATTCCTACATACAAAACTCAACTCACCTTCTCTCTTAAGGTACACTTTCTCCCTAAGTTCCCATTTCCTTGACTTCTGGACTATTAGTCAAAGACTATTTCCTTGACTTCTGCAGTCATTCAGACTCAAACTGTTTATTGTGTGGACAGAGCAGTGGATACACAATCAGAGACTCAATTACTTTACTAGTTATATGAGGAGTTTTGAAAAGTTATTTAACTTTTCTGAGCTTCAGTTTGTTTATTTGAATGGCTGAATAAAATCATGACGACCCCTACTATATTCATAGGAATACTCAATTCCTGAGGGTTCCTTCTCAATCTTTATAGCCCATTACCAACTCCTATTCATATTTCCTACGTATTAAACCCTTAAATTTGGCTACTCTTTTGTATTTTCAATTAATCCAATTAAATGATCAGGTTCCTAGATTTCTGAGAAGGCTTAATAACCTTATCTCTAGTATCTTCTGCTTTTTATTTCATAACTTACATAATCTTACTTACTTATTAAGCATATTTGCTTATTTATCTTACATGTTAATCTCACTGAATGCTCAGTTCCGAAACTTACATGAACAACTCCCCACTGCCTACAACACAAATTGTTGAGACTGGCAATCTTACTTAATGCACTTCACTTTCAATTATTGCCCTTCAGAAGGCTAGTAACTGTGTGACTATGGTTAGGTTACTTATCTATTTCTCTGTCAAAATCTGCTTCAGAATTGTTAAGAGAAAATAAGAAGAGTCTTAGAACATTGCCAAGCACATGGCACTTTCTGAGTTGGAGGCAGTTAGGCATAGCTAATGAAGCTTAACATTCAGCGCAGCTCACCTCTTCCAAAGTGACAGAAGGGGCCCTAGCAATTTTGTGTTCACAATTTCATATCATTTCTTTACAGAGGACCCAATGAAGTACATAAGCCTCAGGACCCTTTAGTCAGTAATATTAAACTATTATCATACCTAGAAGGCAGATATTTGCCTTTCACTACCCTCATAAAATACCTTCACTTTTCCCTGTTTAACAAGTAGAGACAAGGAAATATGCTAGACACTGCAAAAGAATCAAAGATTTCTGTTCCCAAGCTATATTTTCAAAAGAGAAAATAAATCTACATTTAAAATAAAAAGAATCAAGTTACAAATAAAATGCTATGGGAATACAAGGGAAGGAGAACTGAATGGTTGGTGAAATAAAAGAATAACACCAAAACCTATATTCCTGTTGATCTAAGTATGCAGAAACACTGAAGTTATTTACCTACCACAGAAGTGGCCAAATACTACATTTCTACACATTTAAATATCAAAGAGACAGTCTTCCGTTTTTTCTGTATTTCCATATAGTATGCCTACTATACTGCTCTGAATACTCAGAGCACTAGTGACTCCCCTAGTCACTCCAATCCCTCCAAAATGATCAATAGGTCAAAAGTACAGCTTGTTTTGTCAAATACCACCACCACAATACTAATTTGAAAGTCTGCTTCTCATCTAATGAGAAAAGCGATGAAACTACCAGAATCACTCAGAAGCAAAGAGCCCACTTCATAAGAATTCCATCTGAAAATTTATACCTATTACAAAATGAATTCAATAGATTCTTAAATTACAAGATACAGTTAATCTAGAGAAACCCTAGAGAGCTTCACTTTACTGAAAACCTTTCACTGAAATTCCAATAATGAGCACAATATCAACACACACCATAATTTTTCTGCTATGCAAATAAGAATTAACACTTGTTAAGCCTTTGTTCTGATATATTCATGCCTTTCTTAGGCCTTTTCTCACTAGCCTTCTAGACATTCTTAACACCTAATATGAAACAATTCCAAATGCTGTCCAAATGCTTAGCCAAAGTACGTATACTGGAAGCAGGGTGATTTCTTAATAGCTGCACATGACCTAGTATCTTATGACCAGCTTGTTGAGAGACTCGCCCCAGCTGCCCTCCTTTCTCCAGGTTAACTGCTGGCTCCAGCCATTTCTAAAAGTTTAACAGGAAGGGAGAAGGAAGTAAAAAAGCACAATGTGGATCTTCTCATAACTTTAAGAAAAACAAACAAACGACACCACCCGCTCCCCCCCCCCCCCCCCCCAGCAAAAAGATTACCCACCGTCCTTCTCTCTTAAAAGGAGCCTACAAAATGACTTTTTGCTTTGCTAACATTTTGAAAAAGGGCTCTTAAAAAATACAGGAAAGGTAAGCTGTCGTTTCCTTACTCTGGCCCTCTGACTGCAAGAATGTTTTATTAAATAATGCCCTTCTTCCTGGACTAAAAGTCGGTCTCCATTCCAACATGTTCCAAGTTACTATGAATATGTTTTGTGCCTATCAAGCTATCGATTCAATAGCTCTTTTCTGAACAGGGGTAAATGGCGAGGGGGAAAGTACAAACGTCCTCCTCATTGAGATCTCTCCCTACATCTAAGCTGGCATAGTTTTCCCCCTCACATTTCAGCAGCAAGTCTAGCTGCCATGGCTTCTGTGTAAACAGCCACGTTCCCAGAATCCCCCAACCCTACTCCGCTTGGCATCTCTGCACTAACCTCTTTCGAGATCCGATGTGCACTGTTCCCATACCCAGCTGTTCCGACACCGCTGTTGCTCAACCCGGATTCCTACCCCCGGGACAGCTGCCACCCTGAGTCCCAAGTCATGGTGCGCATCCTGCCCCCTAACTGGACCCGGTCTCTGGCGGCAAACCCCCCGGGCAGACAAGGAGGACAGTGCCCCTCTTTCTCCCCTTTCTCCCGCTCCATCCCTCGTCCGGGCACCCCAGCACCTTCCGCAGCCGCCGCCCCGGGACGGTCCGTGCCCCCCACCCAGCCCCACCCCACC